GGATTTCCCTTGAATTTCAGAATATTATCGACACCATCCACAGAGTGACATCCTTGTTTTGCTCCTCATTTTCACAGGAATGCCTTTGCTATTAAGGACTGTATTTGCTCTCCATTCCAGGTCATCACTAGGTATCCTATTGTTTGTTGGACTGAGATCGACACGTTTGTCATCTTGACAAAGTCTTTCTAACCCCAGTCACTATGCATTTTCATCAGGGCACATCTTATTGGGATAATTATATGGTTTTTCTCCTGTGTCCTATTCGTATGATGAACAACATTCATAAACTTTTAACGTTGGCCCTCCTTCCATAAACGAAGTGTCTCCGGAGCCAGTGGGAACAAATTAGCTCACATTAACAGAAATAACTCAGGTCTCACTGGTGCAGCTCCCACCTGCATAATATAAAACAGATGTCACAGACTGGAACTCAATAGGGTCATGTCTGGCTTGGCCTGCCAGGGGTTTTAAAATACCATTTTGAATTAGCTGCCAGAATTTAAAAATCAAGAGATTTCAGATTAATAATGCCAATTTCTGATCTCTCTTTAAAAATTATAAAATCTGACCACAGCAGGCCTGCATTCCCACATGCCCACAATGGGCTGGAGTTGCCCCCCTGGGTGGGAGGCTGGGAGAGGGGCTCCGTTAGTTCATTTGCATGCTTTCCACACCTTGTTTTCTTCATACCCCACTGTTTCCTACACATCAAGGTCAAGGTTCAATTGCCAGTTTTGTATTCGTGCAGTTGTTTTTCTTATAATGGGATTAGGCGAAGGTGAAATATTTCTTGTAATCATGTCTCTAGCAAATGTGGAAATAAGAGAAGAAGCCAAGAGGGTTATGGGCTTCAAGAGAAACGGGAGCGAACATATTTATCAGTGGAAGCAAAGACTATTCCTATATGTTTAATAGGCAAAGTGTGTCTCTTGGAAGAATACAGTGTTATGATGCCACCAGAAAAGAAATCGTAAGAATACTGTGTGTGGGGAAAGAAAATCTCACTGAACTGGGGAAAATAAAAGAACGAAATATCAACAGGGTTTGTTTCAGGAGGCACAGAGTACAAACAATGCTGCCATGAAATGCCCTCATATGGGGAAATGAATACCTTCTGGCCAGTTCGGTCCATAAGCTTGACCTCTTGGCTCTCAGAGACACTAGAGCTTCTGGCCCGTATGCCAGTCTCCCAGCTTCTTTCAAAGCTTCCTTCACTGTGTGCTTCTCCCCAACTCTCTCCCTTGGCCCTTCTGCTGCTGTGTCCAGGTTGGAAGACCCTAATGAAAGCAGCTCCCTGTGCTTCTGCCTGAAGCTCTTTTCCCATGGGGTTCAGATGCTAAGCTGTGGGGATGGCCAGGTACAGTGGTCACATGCCCATTGGTTGCAACACAGAAGGACAGGCTTGGCGGGAGTGGGGGTGAAGGTTGGCCCCACGTCCACCACCTGCTCCCCAAACGTCCCATCTAAATTTCAAGATGGCAGTCGGTCAGTCAGAGCCTCAACCTCTCCTATGTTGAACTTCTGGAACTTTCCACTGGAGACCACTCTTTCTGGTCCACCCACAAACCCCTCTTCACAGGGCCCTGAATTTTGACCAGAGATGCTTTGGGCAAACCAGTCCACCTGAGGCAGCGAATATGTCCGAATTCCTTTAGGCTCCTCCAGGATGTTGGCATTCCTTGAACAAACCCTACTTTGTCGTGGCATATTACTGTTTTCCACTGAAGGCTGAATATAGTTTGTGCTTATTTTATTTCAGATTTTTATATCTGTATCATAGAGAAGAGTTGTCTGTAGTTTCCTTTGCAAGTTTTAATAAGAGAAAATGAAAGGGGAAGTTTTTCAAATGCTTGTAAGATTTGGAACTTTTTTTTTTTTGTTCTTTAAAGCTTACATATTGATAAACAATTTTTGAATTACAAAAGAAGTTGCAAAGAGTGTTCCCATAAAACTTTCAACCAGTTCCCCTAAATATTAGGATAGAACATAACATAGTATGATTATTGAAATCAGGAAATTAAGAGATACAGTACTATTGATGAATCTATAGACTTTATTCAAATGTTGCCAACTGTCCCATTAATGTCCTTTTTGTTGGTCTGGGACCCAGTCCAGAATCCCTCATTGTATTTCATTGTTGTGTGACACTGTCCCTCAGTCTTCTGTGTCCTGACTTTTATGCTGTTGGAAGATTTTGTAGACCTTCCCTCAGTTTGGTGTAGTCTGATGTTTTCTTATGGTTAGATTGAGGCGAGGCATTAAAAAAAGAGATTTATTTATTTATTTGAGAGACAGAGTAAGCACGAGATTGGGGACAGGGGCAGAGGGAGAGGGTACAAGTAACCGGAGCCCGACAATGCAGGGCTCAATCCCATGACCCATGAGATCATGACCTGAGCCAAAATCAAGAGGAGGATGCTTAACCAACTGAGCCACCCAGGTGCCCATGGGGGTAAGGCATTTTTGACCAGAATGCCATGAAAATGATGTGCTTTTCTTAGCGCATCAAATCAAGAGGTAAATGACGTTGCGATGCTTTGCTATGATACTGTCAACATTTTTTCCACTTGGTGAAGGTAGGGTCTCCCCGTTTCTCCACTGTCATGTTACTATTCTTTCTTTGTAGCTAACAGGTGGTTTGTGGGGAGCAACTTTAAGTCTAAGGCGAATAACCCATTCATCATCACACCTTTGGCCACCACACTGAGCATCCATTGATGACTCTTGCCTGCAAACATGATTACTGTGACGTCTGCCAATTTCTAACTCCATCATTCCTCCGACGTTTAGTCACTGGAATTCTACCATTAAGGAAGCGTTGTCTTTTCTCCGCTTAGTTATTTATTTATTCAATTTTAGTGTTTCCTTGGTGATTATTTTCAGAGCTTTAAGGATAAATGTAATAAGAGGAAGCAGACGGGGTAGATTCCTCTTTGAAAACAAGGCAGTTGAAAGGAGAGAGATTATAGATAGACATATATTTTTATTTATTTTTTAACGCTTTATTTGACAGAGAGAGAGAGAGAGCACAAGTGGGGGGTGGGAGAGGGAGAAGCAGTCTCCCCACTGAGCAGGGAGCCTAATTTGGGGCTCCATCCCAGGACCCTGGGACCATGACCCGAGCCAAAGGCAGATGCCCAACTAACTGAGCCACCCAGGCGCCCCAGACATATGGAGCGACAACAAAGAGCTGTATAAAGTATTACACAATCAGGTGCCACAGGAGTGACAAGGGCACCTTGAGTCTTAACCAGTGGCTTGGGGGAGGTGGGAGTAGAAGGTGGCAGAAGGTGCCAGAATGGCTGTAGTTCCAAGTTCTAGCCAATAGGTGTCAGGTGTTGACCAGATCTTCAGGTCAGTGGCCAGCCCTCTGAGGACAGAGTGGAACTTGGTGAGGGGCTGGGATCCGGGCAAGCCCAGGGGATGCAGGATGGGACTAAGTGGGCTTCATGGCGTGCTCAGCTCCCTGGCAGTGAGCTCTAACGGGCAACTCGGCCTTCCTACATCTTCAGTTTTAGGAATACCAGGGGCATGGAGGAAGTCAAGCATGCCATAACTTCTCTAGCGTCTTCTTGAGCCTTGCAAAGTGATCTCACAATCCAACACGTCAATCCGGGATACATTGTGCCATTCTGGAGACTCAGTTCCTGAATCCAGAGCAGTTCCACCCCAGTGTCCCCACCCTGGCCACCTCTGGGCTGTGCCCATCTTCCCCTTTCTCCTTTTATTGTGGTGTAAAAGAGTAGGGATTGGGGAGACTAGAGTCCGCGCCCACCCTTACCAAGTCGCGTGACCTCAGCGTGCCGTCTCGCCCTTCCGTGGCTCTGGTTCCTTATTTGTGAAATGGTGGCGTGCGGGGGTCTGGTTGGTGGATGACGCATACAAGTGCTAGATGGCCTCTGAGCGCCCTTTGCAGCTCTAACTGCAGGCTGGAACCAGACCGTTGTGTTCGCCCAGGGGTACTTTCTGTTTCTGTGCCTTTGGGGAAGTTGCTTTTTCTTGGTATTTTGGGAGTCAGGAAGAGAAGAGCCATTGGTGTTCACATCCCTCAAAGCCTCAGGTAGGTCTGTGGCTTTTGACCAACAGTAACGTCCGACCTTGTGGCCAGTTTCAAGCGCCTTCCACAGCTATTGTGACACAGAGTCCCATTCAACAGTGGAGGTGGAAATTTCAGCCTTGCCCTGTATTAATTCTGAAATCAAGGGCTATTCTTCCCTTGCAAGGGCTGCCGGCACAACTTTCTTACCCCCATTTTGTAAGTGTGGAAACGAGGCTCAGGGCAGCGCAGGGACTCCCGCGACTCCGTGCTGAGTTCTTCCTGCCAGCGTCGTCGGGGGGGGGGGGGGGGGAGGAAGGGGCAAGAAGAGGACCTGGACTCTGGACATGACCCCCCACCCCCCGCTTCGGGGGCCGAGAAATGGCCGAGTGACAGCCACCGGCGGAGGAAGGGGGAGAGGCAGCCTCGGGGCTAGAGGTGCGGTGCTGAAGGCCTGCCTTCTTGCAGAGGGGTGGGGGTCCAGGCGCCCGTCTGCGCACCAGGGGTGCAGGCATTTTAAAGGTTAAGAGCACCCAAAGAAAATAGAAGTAGGAGGAGGAAGTGGGGCGCTGGGTCGCAGCGAGAGAAGGAAGCAGCTCGTCGGAGCTTCCCCTTTGTCCTCCTTCCCCGAAGCCCCCACCCCAAGCCGCCCTCCGGCTCCGCCTACCCGTCCTGCGGGGCCGAGGCCGCGCTTCCGCTCTCCGGGACCCGCCGCACCTGACTCCCGGGGGGTCGGTGGCGCTCGGGGCCCCTCCGGCCGCGGCCGCCCACCCGCGGGGAACTGACCCTTCCAGGGCAGACGCGCTCCACGCTGGTGCCGCCGCTCCTGCGCTGCGCGGGGCCGGCGGGACTCGGGGGATGAGTGGGCCAGCCGCCCGCGCGCCCCGGCCGCCAGGTGGCGCTAGAGACCCGCCGGGCGCCCCGCCCCGCCCCGCCCCGCCCCGGCGTGGCCCCGCCCGCGGCCCGCCGTCCGAGCAGAGCCCGGGCCGATGCGGGGACTCGCAGTGCGGCTCCTGCCCGGCGTCGTGGTCCCGAAAGCACGCGAGGCGCGGGGAGTCGCCGCTGGAGAGGGGCTCGGCGCCCGGCGGGGACTGCAGGTGCGTGGCGGGGCGGGCGGAGCAGCGTGGCGACCGTCGGGGAGCAGTGGGCTCTGAGAGCCGCGGGCTGGGCGGTCCTGCCGTGTCCCGGCCCCGGGGGCACGGGGGTCCGCGCACCTGCCGTCCCCGTACTCCCGGAGACAGAAGGGGCGTCCCGGGGCGGGGGGGCCCTGCCGAGCGCCGGGGCGGTGCGTTTGGCCGCGTCCTCCCGCCCCCTTCGAAAGCCGGCCGGAGTGGGGGTCAGGAGCCCGCGCCCCCTCCGCCTGGAGACGGTCGTGGGGAGCGGTCGCGGGGAGCGTGGGCGTCGCCGCCGGGACCCGGGCGTCGCGGAGGTGCCCAGGCGCCGGCCGCTTTTCTGGAGCGCGGCTCGTCAGCGCGCGGCGGGAGCCGTGTTGACACCCGGGTGTCCCTGCGTGACTCCGCGGGTGCGTGTGTGCAGGTGTGTGTGCGCGTGTGTGCGCGTGCGCTGGCCCATCCCAGGCCCCGGGGTAAATAAGTGAGAGGTTCAGGTCAGTAGGAGGAAGGCGAGATGAAAGCAGCAGGATGTGGTATCGAGTGAGTTAACAAGCCTCTGCGCAGAGAGGAGGGGTGGGTTTAGGCGAAATGAGGGCTCAAAGTAGGCCAGGTCTGCCCGGAAGGCCCCTTCTGGATCGCCCTTTCCCTTCCTCCCTCCCGTGGTCGCTGCATCTTCTCGTCCACACTCTTCCTCCTGCCCTGGACCACCTGGTAAGGCGCTGGTTCCCAGGGCTTGTTAAAGCACGCATTCCCCGGGCCCCAGGCCCAGCTTTAGGGGGCGGGGGGAGGGGGCGAAGTCTGGAATCTGTATTTTTCTAAAATTTGGATAAGCTCCTTCAGTGATGCCCTGGACCCATTGCTGGGGAGCCCTGTGTGATGTGGAAAGGAGACTTGAGCTGCCGCTGGGGTCTTGCTGTGTGACCTCGAGCATCTTCTGTCCCTCCCCCAGCCCGTTGCCCTATCTGTGAAATGGGCTCTAATAGTGCTCCCCCCCCCCGGGGGGGCGCTGTGGGGAAATTCCATGAGAAAAGTGTGATGAAACTAGCTGCACATGGGAGCTGTTTCCTGCGCGCTTGCAGAACAGGAGTATGGAGATCAGGGGGCTTCCCTGCTTCCTCAGCCTGCCCACCGTGGTGCGGGTCCAGGAAGACAAAGAAGAAGGTTTCCAGTGGTCAAGCTCTCTTCTCCTGGATACCCTCTCTTTTCAGGATACCCTTCCTTGCTTTTTGAAGCATAAGCTGCCAGGACTGTAGGGACCGGCAGGCTTGGGGTCTCTGTATGCTGGGCCTCGTTGGGATTTTAAGCGTCGCCCCCCCCCCTCCAGCTTAAGAGGGAGATGATTATCTTCTCTCCCCAAGCTGTAATGGAAGCAGACCACCTCAGCCTCCCCTTCCTCGTTCCCATGCTGCTCTGTTTGTTTCTTTCAAGAGGAATCAGTGGAAGCTAAGTGGTGGTACTAGGTGAAAAGCATGTTTGGGGTTACTGGAGGGGTAATGATGATGAGGCTCCCCACACTGATCAGGGGCCTCTTGGCTGAGAAGTGGCAGAAGAGGAGAGCCAGAAGCCCCCAGTAGCCTCTTGGCTTGGACAGCCTAGAAGCCCCAGCTTGGATTCACCTTAGCACTCCAGCTTTTGTTCCAAGAGGCTCACCCCAGTGGGCTGACCTGGCTGGCCCTGTGGGATCCCTGTGAACCAAAAGTGTTGTTTGCCTCAGCTGTGGGTGGGCTGAAGGCCTGGATCAGCTTCTTAAGAGAGGAAGCTTCTAGAGGGGCCAGAGAGTGATGAGCAGTCACTCAGGGGAGAGGGGGTAAGTTTGATTTTTGAGGCTCTGGCATAGATGTGTGTGGGAGGGAAAAAAGGAAGGGTTACATCTGACTTGTGCCCAAAGGGAAGATGAGACGTTCCTAGAGCAACCATGTATGACATATTAGGATATCCCGTAGATTTGAAGACATATTTTCACATTTTAATGACTCAGAAATCGAGATGCATCTTACCATTATAATAGACAACAGTATTTCTTTCTTGGCGGCACACAAAATAATGACTTTGGGGACATGAGTGGTGGCCCGCCCTGGGTCTTTTGTGTTTGCTTCCAGGCTCGCAGCTGGGTTCTGGGTAACAGGGGGTTTCAGTTAGGTGCCTTCTGGATAAGGGAGCTAGAGCTGTAGCAAGGTGCCCCCAGCAGGAGGATGGGGGCTCGGGGGTAGGACACAGTGGGTGACTGGTGGCAGAGAGCGGGTGCGGGGTCCTTCTTGGGTCTGGTGGGTCTATCAGTTGGGGTACTAGGCTCCAGCCTTGCTCCTGTCGCCGTGGTCATGTAAGGCAACAGATCGAAGCAAGAGTTTTGACCGTGAACCCTTTAGAGCTGCCACCACCCCCTGGGGAAGGCCCATACCCCTTGGCATGGCTACTGGGCCTCTCGCCGGCCAGCTCAGGGCCACTGTCCTGCTGTATCTCTGGAAGCTTGGGCAAACCCCAGTGCCTTTGCACCTGCTATTTCTTCCTTCATTTTGCCATTCCCTTCCTCTACTGCCCAATGGACTGTGATTCCACCCCCCTGTTCAAACCTCATCATCTGTGAAGTCTTTTCCAACCACCCCCTCCCCACTCCCTGGCCCTGACCACTCCGCCTGTCCTCAGCACACCTCGTATGTCCTCCTGCCGGGGCACTGACCACTCTGGCCTACAGGGTCTGACCAGCAACATGTTGGCTTGCTCACCTGAGCCACCTGATGCTCTGTGTGGCTGTTCAGCTCTCACCATAACCCCACCCCCACCCCCCAGGATGTCAGAGGCAAGAAATCCATGCGCACCAACAATGGGAGTTGCCGCCTGCAGGAGGGAGGGGTGTGCTTTTCATTTTCGGGTCCTCTGGAGTCTTCTAGCTGCTGTTGTTGACCTAGGCAAATGAGGCTGTGTGGTTTCCTTGTTGGGGGCAGGGGCTGGGGCACGAGGGCTGAATGTGGCGTCTGGGCTTCTGCCTCCCTTGGAGTTGATTGACCTTGTTTCCGCGTGTCTCCTGCGCTGCAAGGCATGTGACCTTGGTTCCGTCCGCGCCCATCCCCTGGGGTGTCCGTTCTCACCTGCGGGGAGGTGTGTAACAGGTGCTTTCTACAGTCCCTTCCTGAGCTCCCACTTTCCCTTCACTGGCTCAGCACTTTTTTACGGAACACCTTCCCTGTCCCGGGCAGGTGCTGGGCTCCCTCCCTCCCTCCTGAGCAACACAGGACAGTTGTTCCTGCCCTCATGAGATTCATCAGGCGGGCGGGACACTAGACCCACCTCCCATTTCATCACACTGGTGAGAATTAGCAGGGGCCTGTGATTTTACACAAAGGGAGCGCCATATAGCTTGGAGGGTGAAGGAAAGGCTTCCCTAGCCAAATCCTATTCATGGTGAGACTTGAGAGATGCAAGATAGAAACAAACAGCAATGCCGATCGATCGTAGTAATCCCTACCATTAGGCAGGTAGCTCACCCAGTGTGTGGCATGGACCAGGGACTCAGGCCCTTGCAGGCCATCAGTTCTATTAGCGGTGTTCCCCTTTTCCTCGGCACTGATCATCAGCAGGGAGCATGTTTCACCGCTGCCCCCGTGGTCTCCTGGCAGGAGGGCCCCAGCTTCGAAGGGAGCCCCTGCACCACATTGTCTGCCGAGCCTTCATTCTGTCCCTTTCCGGAGCAGCTGCCCTTACAGGGTTAAGAAACGCTGGTTTTCTATAATCCGGTCAACGCCCCCCCTCCACCCACATCCTTCTCCATCCAGAGCTGTCCTCCCAGAACCACGAAGTCCGTGTGGGCGCTTGGGGTCTGAGTGTCTGTGCCTGAATGGCCTTGTGGTTGGGACTCTTGGCACGAGGCACATGGTCACAGAGCCACGTCCACGCAGCCGGGCTGGGACGGCCCACCTCCTCAGTGTGTTTTTCTGGGTTAGATCACATCTGCACATCTGCACGGCTCTTCCTTGATAATGGAGATGGTAGACTTTCTACCACCCCGCCCCTCGGCCAGAAAAAAGGCACACATGTGCGTACACACATATACATGATTTCTCTCCCTCTCTCTTTCCAAGTTTTGCATAAAAGGTCAGGGTTGGGACGCCTGGGTGGCTCAGTCAGTTAAGCGACTGCCTTCAGCTCAGGTCATGATCTCGGGGTCCTGGGATCGAGCCCCACGTCAGGCTCCTTGCTCAGCCGGGAGCCTGCTTCTCCCTCTGCCTACCACTCCCCCTGCTTGTGCTCTCTCTCTCTCTCTGACAAATAAATAAATAAAAACTTTAAAAAAAGGGGGGCACCTGGGTGGCTCAGGTCATGATCCTGGAGTCCTGGGATCGAGTCCCCCATCGGGCTCTCTGCTCAGCGGGGAGTCTGCTTCTCCCTCTGACCTTCTTCCCTTTTGTGCTCTCTGGCTCTCATTCTCTCTTTCTCAAATAAATAAAGAAGATCTTTTAAAAAAAAAAAAATAAAAAAAAAAAGTGGGGGGGGGGGGTGGGCGCAGGGGATGAGCTCCCTGACCACTCACGGAGCCCCCACCCTCCGTGCTTACACTTTCTGGACTTCTCATCAAGTCTTGAATTCAGGCCATTTTCAAGATGACGTACAAGCGTTACTTTTGCTCGTGGCGTCCTTACAAGAAACCCTCTGCTCCGTCCCAGCACTGCTCTTTCTTTGCCACAGATGCTCCCAGCTCCCCGAGTGCCCAGGGACCAGCCTGAGCCTGGGGCCTTGTATCTCTGATGTGGGGGCCCGGTCAAGTGCCACGTGTGAAGGAAGTTTTCTTCCGTTCCTCATGACGAAGGATTTTTAGAAGCCTGAATGGAAGTGAAGTCTGTTGAATAGTTCTGTCAGCATCTTACCAGGAGATTCTTGCGTCCTTTTGCCTTGCCATAGATTTATGTGACAGATGGTATCATTAGCTTCCTTGGATTGAGCCCCTCCTGCATTTCTAGAACAAACTCCGTTTGGTCAAGGCGTTTTATTCT